AGGAGCATTACGCTGTGGGGGTGTCGGGTTAGTCCACACATGTCGAATCTACATGTACACAAGTAACCTTAAGAGAGTGTCACTTTGTTGTTCTCATTGTTTTCCTTCTTCTCCTCCCCCCCTCTCCATTCACAACTTAACCACCTCCCAGCCCCGCAAATCCATTCTCCCCAGCTGTCCCCCCAACGGGCCCTGCACCTCCCTCCCACCCGCCCACCGCTTCTTGCCCGCCCAATGCTCGAGGAAGCCTTCGGGCCCAGACACAACAATTACTCGTGATCCCACGCCACCCTCGTCTCGCGGCTGGCCTATGCGCCTTGCAATCTCGCTGGGCTGGATAAACGTCCGTTCCTCGTCGACGTAGTAGTGCAGGCTGAGATCGAATGGGCGCTGAGATGTATTCTGTGATTTCAGTGCTTCCAGCTCCTTCACAATATCGCCCTTTTCCTGGTCTTCGTGGCGGTCTGTCAGGGATATCTGGTCTTGTCCTTGTTGTCGTTGATGTTGCTGCTGTGTAAAATCCCCAGAGCCACGACCCAAACCATTGAACCATCCCGTCCATCTCCGCGTCGTCTTGCCATCCCCCCTCCCATCCCCAACACCCCCAACACATTCCTCACGCCTCCGATTTGCCCAAAAAACACTCATCCGACAACCATGCCCCCTCGCCCCCAACGCCCGCGCAATCTGCATCGCAGGCGCAATCCCCGTCCCACCCGCCAGAAAAACAACCTCTCTGACATGCGCAGGCAGCTCGAGCTCGACATGCGGTCCGCGCACTTCAATCTGCGCGTCCAGCGGTAACCGGTGCAGGTACGTCGACACCTCGCCTCCAAGCTCCTGCCGAATCAGCAGTCTCAATTCGCGCGCTGCATCGCCATCAACAGCTGTAGCCCCGTCAGGTCCAGGCTGCACGCCCACCCCCACCGACGGCAACGGCGTGTACGCTCTTGCGATTTGCAATTGCGGTTGTTTAATCTGCACGCTCCATATCCCGCCCCTTCTCCATGCCTCTCTTACACTCTCTGGCTCCGTTGCCCCTTGCTGCCGCAGTGTGAAAATCGCGCTTGTGGAGGATACGCGCTGTTTGTCGACGAGTGTGTAGGGCGTGAAGGTGTGTGGATTCAGCGAGGATGTGCTGGAGGAAGAGGGCGGCGCGAGGATGCGGTATGTGGCGCCAGCGACGGCGGAGGTGCCGAGGATGAGGAGGGGGATGGGATAGCGTTTTAGTCTGGACATTGATAGTGTGGGGGCGGGCTGTGTGGTTGTGCGGTTATCGTTGTGTTGGTGGTGGAAAGACGATGGTTATGATACCTACAATAATTACTCCATATAGTCGAATTACCCAATTAGGACATCCCGTCCTAAAGCAGAAAAACATCACTTGAAGTATCCACCATAAGACATCATACTCTCAGGCGCACTGCAAGACACTAATCTAACCGGTGAAAAGCCTACCACACAGAAAAAAAGTCTTTAGTTACCATGGACCCAACGCAGCCAAGTTCCCTGAATCTCCCTCACCCGACCCCTACGGTTCCGTACCCGCGGCTATCCCATCTTGCACCCAAGATGGCTCCCTCAGGCAAGAAAAAAAGCCCAGTACCAGACATCATCCAACTTCCAAACGCCCCCACCCCTTCGCTCTACAACAAGAGAAAAGATCCCACTAAGAATTCAACCCTCTCCCCACTCCATGCATACCCTACATAATCACAATCCACACAACCCACACAATCAAAAAAAATCACACAAACAAAACCTCACAACAGTAACCACTGAATTCAACTCCGCTATATAAACCCGCCCAGTCCCGCACCACCACCCACCTCTCATCCAATCTGCCCTTCCCCCCCTAGATCCCAACATACCCATCTTGAAATACATTATATATATACCCCCCGTTCCCTCAAGACACCCGACTCTACTTCCCACCGGACGCAAGGTGATCCGCAGCCTGGCCACAACCCGTTAGAATTTACATTGGTCGGATTGACATGTCTAGAGAGAAAGAGTGCATCTGTGGAATAAAATGCATAGGGGGTCTCGTCGTATCCACGCCCGGCTAAAAACTCACCTTATTAATATCATAATCAAATTGCTCCAACGCACTCAACGCATCATTCCGATTATACCCCATGCCCGTCAACTTCTTCAAAATCGGGTCGTCGTGCTCCGTCCCCGAGCTAATCGCGCGACCCAATGCCGGCATCGAGGGCGACAAAGTCGAAGACGACGCCACATTCTCATCATTGTCCAATGTGTCAAAGACCGATTGGCTGAAATCCGTAGGCGCCTGTTGCGAGTGCCCAGCCTTGTCAGGCTGCGACGACTCGAGGTTGGAGAAGATGGCGTCCCAGTCTTGCGAAGACGAGGCCGTGGGCTGGGGTTGCTGGGTTTGGCCGAAGCTTTGGGACATATGCTCGAAGTCGCTGAAGCTGTCGTCGCCACGCTTGCCAGTGGGAGTTTGTTGCGAGGCCATGGTGTTGGATTTGGAGGCTGCGGGCGAGTCGAAGACGGGGTTAAATTCATCGAGGCCGTCGCGGTGTTGCGACGAGAAGATGAAGTCGTCATCGGCTCGGTCATCTACTTCCTTGGCATCGGCGAGGTCGTCAAAGCCAGCGTCGAAATCATCGTTGAAGGCAGACTTGCCAAGCTGAGGCAGATTGGCTGGTGGGGAAGGACCCTTGTTCGTTTCACTGCTTCCATACGACACGGCCGAGTGGTAAGCATCAGATGGAACAGTCGATGACGGAGTGTCTGTCGGTGGAGGCGACGTTGCAGTCTTGGACGAAGACCCGCCAAACAGAGCAGCTCCATGACCACCGGGGTTGATAAACGACTTCTCAGGACCCTGCGAAGTAGTCGGCGACCCTGGGACATCACGCGAAGGAAGGAGGCCACCAAACTCAGGAGGAAACTGGTTTGATCCACTTCTGGTCTGGTTGACAGACGACTCGTATGTCGGCGGCGACTTTTGCGCATTTGCTGAAGGTAGGCCACCAACATTAGAATCAAGACGGGTTGTTGGGGGAGGGGCCCGATAGAGCTCATCGCTTGACGCAGTGCCCGGCCTTGGCTGCTGCTGGTGCTGTTGCTGATTTTGCTGCTCCTGGCCGGCACTTGAGCGCTTTTGATCAGGCGAAGCAGATGTAAAGTCGTCTTCAAAGCCACGCCCATCGTTACTATCACTGTCGTCATCATGAGCTAGATCCTCAATTGGAGGGAACTCCTTGTTGAATCGATTGGAGCCTTCGGCGGGCGCACTGGCATTGGATGCAGTGGTGGTGGCTTGACGACTGGGGCCGAAGCCAGCGAAAGCCGCATCGAAGTCATCCTTGCCTCCGCCACGAGTCTGATCACCAGAAGTGCTACCAAAAGGATCGCCGCGGTTGGTGTTTCTACTCTGCCCACTCAGAGCGCTCTCCCCTGTTTGCGTTGGCTGGAGAGGTGTGGCAGACTCGCGTGGGAACGCTCCTGGGATTTCCTGAGTAACTGAGGGGATTCCAAAACTTGCATAGGGATCCTTACGTTCTTCAGCCTTTGTAGTCGAGCGTTGCGTATCGCTCGTGACGCTAGCTACAGGCGATGCTGAGAAATTCCTGTTGTACAAGGAAGAATTGAAGTTGTCAGTCTCGGTTCTGTTAGTATCAGATCGTTCCAGAGGTTTCTCTGGGATCGGGGTGCTGGCGGGAGATGCTTGAGAGATGGTCGGCGTCACATTGCCGGGTACAGCTTGTCCACCATATCTGCTAGCAGACGCTCCGCCCCTCACAGATGAGCTGAAAGAATCGGACCGTGGGCCGGCGTCTCTCAGGGGCAAGAATGACGAACCAAACTGACGAGACTCGGGAGGTGCAGGTGGGTCAGCGACACGTGGAGACTCTTGGTAAGAGGAAAGCGGAGGCGAGGTGGACGGCGTAGGCACATCGGGTCCCTCAGAGGAACGAACAGACTGGCCAGACGGAGCTGAGAAATGGGGAACCTGGCCTTGGCTGTCAGAGCGGAACGAAACGGGCGGTGCGTTGTTCTGGGGCGCCGCAAAAGATCCAAAGACGCTATCGAAATCCTTATGGGGGCCGTCGCGCGCAAAGCCAGATGGCGTCATTGTGTTCTCCGCGACTGGCGCAGGCGATTTGCGGAAGAATGGGTTGGTACTTTGGCTCGTTGTAGAAGCAGCAGGGCTGACGACTGCCGGTGTCTGTATCTGCGGGCTGCGGAAGCCTTCTTCTTGGGCTTTTGCCAAGTCATTCATTTCATTCTTCAGCTTGTCTCGCTCGCCCTCATTTGTAGCAAGCTGTTTCTTATTGATTGCAACCATGCCCTTCTGCTGCCGAGCATCGTTCCTCATCTTGTCAAGCTGTGGTCGCAGTTGTGCAATCTCGGCGTTGAGCTGGCGAATGCGCTCCTTTAGGTTGCTGTTTTCTCGTTGGTCAGCTTCCAATTGGCCACCGACTTGACGGTGTTGTGTCTGAAGGTCTTGATAAGAGCCCTCAATCATTGCAAGATCATTCTGCAGCTTTCGGGTCTCGTTCCGTGACGCGACTAGTCGGTCCTCTAGAGCCTTGACCGCTTTCATCTCCTGGTCGTACTGGCTCTTGAACTGCGAGAGGCGAAGCTCAAGATCACGCTTCTGGGTGTTCACACTGTTCAGATCGCTCTCTGTCGCAGTCTTCTTGTTCTGCACTTCTTGCATCTGGTTCCGCAACGTAGTCATCTGGTTAGACATGTTGGCCAGGTCGGTCGAGTCTTGTGTAAGCTTCTTGTTAATCTCAGCATCAGTCTCTCCACCTAACAAGTCATCCATAGCTGATGGTGGGTTCGCGCGAGATTGGACACCTGAAGTGCCCGACTGGCCAGTGGAATGCGAGGTGAGGGTCTGGCCAAAGGACGAGCTTGGCATGAATGGCTTGAAAGTCGAAGCAGGGTTGCGTGGCGCTGGTTGGAAGGGATGTGGCGAGGTGGGCGAAGCCGCCTTACTTGAAAAGGGGTCGTTATCGAATGGCTTGTTAAAAGTACCAGATCCACCTGTCGACTGTTGTACCTGCTGAGGCGCGGGAGGGGGCGACCCGAAAGCATCCAAACCGAACAGATCATCTGCAGCAGACTTTGTAACACGGGGAACGGGTGGCGCCGGTTGTGGCGATACAATTGGTACAGCTTGGTTTGCTGTTGTGCGCAAGCTTGGGGGTATCAGACTGGGCGGTAGCGTCGTTGGTAGTTGGTCACCCTTCCTCTGCTGTCGGATCAAGTACATGGCTACCGCAAACTCATCCTTGGACAATTGGCCCTCGGAATTGATATCCGCAAGATCCCAGATACCAGCTAGTACATCTTCCGGTAGGCCTGAGTCACTGAAGAATCGCACAGCCTGATCTCCGGTTATGAAGCCACGACCCATCGTATCAACACCCTTGAATAGGTTGTCATAGGAGGCCTTCTCTTGAGGGCTGATCAGCCAATCGCTACCAGTCGCTTGCACTGACTGAGGTGGTGCGCCAAACGGTGATCGTCCGAGAGGGCTCTGGGTTCGAGGAGCGCTTGATTGACCGCTGAATTGTCGGGAGCCAGATTGATCTGGCCGGCCAGGTGGTGGCGGCAGTTGTCCTCGCCGTGACGCCGCTTCGTACAAGCCAGGTGGTAAGGTGGTCGGTAGAGCCTTGAGATTACCGGTCCTATATGAGGCTAGCAGGTGCATGGCAATGATAAATTCAGTCACATTGAGCGCGCCGCGCTGCTCGGTGTCTGAGAGGTTCCATATGCGACCCAGGACCTCGTTGGGCAGTCTGGCCTTCTCGAAGATTTCTTTTGCATTCTCGCCTGCACATGGTCAGTCCAACAGTCTCCCGTCTTGCGCCTGGGGAACAGTACCAGACAGCACGCCATTGACGGCGCCCGACTTTTCAAACAAGCCAGCATATTCAGCGGCTTTGGCGGGAAGTAGGGGAGGCACGCGAATGGGTCCACTACCGCTGACCTGAGGTTGTATTGAGCCCGTGGGTTGTGGCGAGAAGCTGGGTGCAGGAGCGGGTGCGGCTGGGATGGTCAGGCCTTCGAACTTGGGCAGCGGCGCAGCTAGACAGCTGTCAGTACATGATATAGATGATGGTGGGTGGGCGGGCCATTACGCCTAAATGCAAGCTCTGGGGCAGGATCACGGCCGGCCTGGTAGTGGCCGATGAGACGCAGGACCTGGCAGAAGCCGGCCATGGTCAAGAGACCGCGGTTCTCCGTGTCTGCGATCTGCCATATCTCGCCCAAGACAGCAGGCGCGAGCTTTGTGCGCTCGAAGAACTTGACGGCGATCTCGCCTGTGATTACGCCGAGCTTCTCTGTGTCGGCCTGCTGGAAGAGATACTGGAAGGTGCGCTTCTCCTCGGGGGTGAGGTTGAGGATGGGCTGGTCTGCGCCGGGTTAGCTCGCGCACCGAAGACGATGTAGGAAGCGCCATTGGCGAGGGCGGTGGCCTACTCAGTTCCCCGCTGGCTGCGAGATCCGCCATGGCTGTGGGACTGCACACGCGGTGGAGATGGTGGGGAGAAGAAGAGTAAGGAGGGGGAGGGGGAGGGGAAATTTGGGGGATGCAAGATGTGAGATGCGAGATGCCTGTTCGGTGAGGCTGCAGCTCCCGGCGCTCGCTGTCGTGCAATAGCGCGGGGAAGCTGTAACTAGGCGGCCGGAGGGTGCAAGGAAGTAGGGAGGCTGGCGGCCAGGTGTAGTCGAGTCGTCACAGGCCAAGGTCGACGCCGGTGAAAAACAACTGCGGCTCTGGTATGGAATAGCAAAAGGGGGACGACGGACGGGCGCGGAGGCGATGATGGTGTTGTTGTTGTTGTTGATCGAGCGGCAGGCCGGCGACACATGCGCCGGAAGCACATGCTCGTCGACATGCTAAGCTATCTAGTGAGTTTAAACCCAGCCTCTTAGTCGCCGTGCCATAGCGTCTGGCGACAGTGGCGCTAAATAATCCCATCTCGAACGAATGGACTTTGCGACAGAGGCCATTGGATGGGTCACGACAGCTGTCAGCACATGTCGTGCGAATCAGCCACGCTGTCTGCTGTCTGTCTTCATGCTCTCATGCATCAACACCTTGCCGACCCAATCCGCGGCCTGTCCCATGGGAAGCACATGACCCTTTCTCCTCTTCTCCTCTCTTTGCAGCCCCCCCTCCACCCAGCCACTTTCTACTGGGTACATGCCTACCGAAGATTATCATCAAAGGGCTGACTTGATAGACCCAAACAAAAGTCGCATGCTTTCCATCACACAAGAGCTCCTCACATGGCAGATCTCGCTGATTGACAAGGCTTGGCGGATTGCTTCTAAAGGCTTTGTTGTACAGGACTTGTTCGTGATTTCGTTGATACATGTTTAGTACAAAGTAGGTGTTATTCCCAAGAGGCCGAGAGAGCGACAGAGGGGAGAGAGGTGCCCCGCATCATCCCATTAGCTCTCCACCAACTATTCTTGCCTTCTGCCACCTCAGCAGAGTCTACGAGCCCCTGTCACGACTGCGAAGATTTTTTCCCCTCGGACATCTTGCAAACGCCAAACTTGGACCGCCCTCGTTTTGCCTTCCCCAAGCCCGTCCGAGAAGCCAGTCGGTGACCGAGATCATCTTCGCAGTCTTCTCCCAATGCTGCCCTTCCTCTGTATGCTCTATAATGTGATTAAGAATACGGCCCTCTTCATCAAACTCAAACTTGAACAGACCAGTGAATTCTTCGTCAGGCCGACTCGCTCCTGGTATGATGCTCTTAATCTTCTTCACCACATCGCTAACCGGTCCATTCTCTTCGTCCTTGGCTTTACCGCAGGTTTGCCATCGGACTATCAATCGTTCGTTGCGCATGCGGCTTTCGTCGCAGGTTCCGCCATTCTTGACCATGCGCTCAGACAGTATTTTGAGCTTCACGTTGCCGAGCACTGGCACGCGACCCCATGCAACTGGCGCTGTCCAAAGAGCTGCTGCGTATGCGAGCTTCCCGGTGACCTTGGGGAGATGTGGATGCGTCGAGGGAAAGAGGTGGAGGCTGACGTGTGGAGAGAGAACGTCTTGTGGGAGAGGCGAGATGAGGAGTGTGGGTAGGCGATCGTGGAGGATGCGAATTGCTTTGCAGAAATGAGTCGATGAGTGCGGCCGCAATTCAATGATCATGCAAACTTACTATTTCCCAACTTGAGATTGCGCTCATTCTGTCGTTGCTTGTCCCTCTCATCGGGCTCTGTGGAGAAGCAAGGTGATGAACTTGTAAACCATTGCCGCAATACTGCCGCCTGTCGTGGGCGAACGTCTGCGATAGTTCTCTGATACTGCTTGAATCCGAGTATACGAGGCACTGTGAGTGGCCTTGCCGCTGAAGGTGGAAGTCGCGAGCGGGCGGAACTCGAAAAGCGCCGTAGCAGACCGTTGGTCATCTGTGTGGATAAGAGTGTCCGCCCATAGAGAATGAATAGAATGGGGAGTAGCGTACGCTTGTGAAGAGGAGTGTGGAGTGATGCGTTCGGTGCCTTCGCCGTGCCCGTTGGACGGAAAAGTCCATGGGTGGGTCCCGAAGCGCGAATGACGCAGACATGGTGACGTCGTTAGCGATGGCCTATCACAAGAAACTACCTGACCTCCATGTACCCTACCCTACCAGCGCTGATGGTCGATGTAACGAAGCAAACAAGCCCCGCCATCGCAGATAGTTCATCCGGTGGGAATAGCGAGTGGAATTGCAGAATGTGATACCTATAAATATCGGAGTTTGTCTTTCCTATCTTCGACTTTCGCATCCCCATTACATCACATTTCATATCCAGACGACACCGCGCTGGACAGGACTATCAAAACACAACAGCATTCACTCAATTGAACCTTGGCACCCATCATTGTCAGCCATTTTCGTTTCTAAAAAAAAAGGAAAATGGCATCCTTGGGAAAGCGAATTGTCTTTACAGGTGGCTCAGGCAAGGCTGGTCGACACGTCATTCCTGAGCTGATCAAGGGCGGCTACGAGGTTCTGAACTTGGATCTGACAGATTTTCCAATCGAGGATGCTGGCGTGTTCACTCTGAAGACTGATCTAAGTAAAAGCGGACAAGTGTTCAATGCACTGACAACCCACTTCAATTTCGCCGATTATGAGGGACCCAATGTCCCTGGTCCTCCCGATGCAGTCATCCACTTCGCAGCGTACGCACGCAACATGCTCGTCCCTGATAACGAATGTTATGCCGCCAACGTCCAATCAACTTATAGTGAGCATTCTCAACTTTTATACCGGGAAATTTTCACCAACAATCTTCAGATGTTATCGAGGCCGCATGCAAGCTTGGTGTTCGCAAGATCATAATAGCCAGTAGTGAAACCACATATGAGGTATGCTTCGGTCAAGGTGATCTAGACTACTCATCCTTTCCACTGGACGAGGACAGCGACGTGAACCCCATGGATTCATACGCCATCTCCAAACTCTGCGGTGAACGCGTAGCTCGTGGATTCGCCCGCCGTTTCGACGCGGATATCTATGCACTTCGCATCGGCAACGTCATTGAGCCTCACGAGTATGCGCGCGACTTTCCTGCCTACATCAACAAGCCCGAGATTCGCAAGCGCAACGCATGGAGCTATATCGACGCCAGGGATCTAGGACAGATCTGTGATCTCTGTGTGAAGAAGGATGGACTGGGCTTCCAGGTGTTTAATGCGACCAATGATACTATCACGGCGACATTTCCGACCAGGCAATTTTTAGAGCAGTTTGCGCCCAACACGCCCATTACGAGGGAGATGGGAGAGTGGGAAGCGCCGTTGAGCAATAGGAAAATCAAAGAGGTATTGGGCTTCAAGGAACAGCATGACTGGAGGAAGTACTACAACCCTCACAATTAGGATGCAAACAGATAAAACATTGTTGAGGGTCTCATTGAGCAGGAAAAAAGAGAACACACAAGATAACGAGAGTAAGCTTTCCACTGGAGGCATTTGTGCCTTAAGGATATGAAGTATAAGCGTGAGAAAGAACATTCAACAGCCTATACCGCTCAGTGAACAGGTCGCGTACGACAAAATCAAGGACCTTGAGGCGTTTGTTATGGTAGAAAGTAACCTGTATTGAATGGTTACTTCTCAGACCCACTCGCTAGCTAGTGAACTCGTCCTCAGACTCGATAGAATCCTTACTTCCAACCTTGCGTAATGTCAATATTAACATATTGGTTAGTGAGGGCACGGTGTTGTGACGGCTGGAGGGAAATCGCTATGATGTTGGAAGATGTGAAATGATATCCCACCAAAGTCACCCGGTAGTAGCGCCTTGGCATTATAACATTAGCTCCGAAGCTCGCTTCCCCAATGACTTTTTTTGGACCAGGGTTGGTGAGCGTTCTCGTCTTATCTGCGCAACTCGTAGTTTTCTCCTTCGTGCGATACCCTAATTTTTCTCTGCGCTGTTTGTTGTAATCCCTACGTCTCTCTTGTTCAATTCTTCACAAAAAATCGACGCAATGACACCCTCACCATCAGAGGCTGTAGCCAAAGTCGCCGAAGCCGCATCGGGTGCCAATTCGTCAGTGAAAGTGTATAAGCGGGAAAGCAACACAGCCAGAGTTTTGGGCGCAGGATGTGCTGGTATTGCAGAGCTTATGGTGTTTCACCCCGTAGACACGACAGCGAAGCGGTTAATGAGCAATGTTGGCAAGGTGCGATACTTTCCCGAAGCTGAATGTACAAAAATTTAACGCGAGTATTCCGCAGATTGAATCGGTATCACACTTGAACAAGGTAGTCTTCAGAGACACAGCCGCAGCATCCGTCTCAACACGATTCTTCTCGCTCTTTCCAGGTCTCGGATACGCTGCAGCATACAAGGTACATTTGGCCCATTAGTTGGCACGAATGATGAATTGACAGCCCCAGGTGCTTCAACGTGTATACAAGTTTGGTGGACAGCCCTTTGTACGAGATTATTTGGCGCAACACCATGGAGGCAGCTTTGAGCGTACATTCGGAAAGGCCAAGGGCAAGGCCATTATGCACGCCACAGCTGGTTCGATTATCGGTATCGGCGAGATTGTTCTTCTGCCACTCGATGTCCTTAAGATCAAGCGACAGACCAACCCTGAAGCGTTCAGAGGGCGTGGTCTGTTCAAGATCATCTCTGATGAGGGCTTTGGCCTCTACCGCGGGTGGGGTTGGACAGCAGCGCGCAATGCGCCCGGATCCTTCGCTGTACGTTTTGCCATCAAATGATAAAGTGTCCAGAGACCTAACGTCACCAAAGCTTTTCGGTGGTTCTGCTGTAGCGAAGGAGTTTCTCTACAAGCTCAGCGACTACAACTCCGCCACATGGATGCAGAACTTCGTCGCATCCATCGCCGGTGCTAGCGCCTCGCTCGTCGTCTCCGCCCCTCTCGATGTCATCAAGACGCGTATCCAGAACAGAAACTTTGAGAACCCAGAGAGCGGCATGCGGATCGTGTCCAACATGATGAAGCACGAGGGAATCACCTCCTTCTTCAAGGGTCTGACACCCAAGCTTCTCATGACCGGACCCAAGCTCGTCTTCTCCTTCTGGCTGGCTCAAACACTCATTCCCGCCTTTGGAAAGATAATGTAATGTGTGATGTGGGATACACGAGCGACTTTTTGTATTATAGATATATTCAAGATCTGAGCGATGAATCATGTAGGACTGGTCGGTGGCTCTCCGCCGAGGCCAGCATACGAGTACCATGTATCGCTTTGAGCGAAATGCACGAAATTCTCCAATCCATGAAACGACCGAATCCAATTCAAGCTGATATGATCTGCCATGTACCTGTCTAGACAGGGAACCTGAGACAGCGAGCGAAGGCGCCCGAAACTACTGTCACGTGCGACTACAGCTCGCCCTCACTACCCCCCTCCAAGGTGGAGTGGCCACATGAGTGATGCGATGCAGTAAATGGGTGTAGCATTGGAAGCGGTGAACAGCAGAAGCTATAAAGCATCTAGTCATAGCCAGATGGCACGTTCACTGAATGCCTCTTTGTTGCAGTGGCCTAGGCAGCACACGGGGCGACAATGTGATGTTCTCTGCCTGGTACGGGACCAACGGCGAACTTGTGACCCTGCGCTGAGTGCCAAGTCCTCCACACCTGGTACCACGCTCTGCACCCTCACCCACCCTTCTCTCAACACCTTCTACCCCAGCGACTCTTGATACCCCACGTCTCCTACCGTCGCGACAGTAGACATCCACACATAGCACTCGTACCCTTATCTCGCCCCTACACCACCGCAAACATGAACCCTGAGTAGTACGTAACCTCCACGCGAAGCCCACCGCCACTGGTCGAATCCTTGTGAGGGCGGATCGGCGTATTGTTATATGCTGACTTGACCACCTACAGAGTCTAACCCGCGCCCGCGTTTATATCGTCACTGGTGCTGTCGTTGTAGAAGCGCTCCCCCCACTGACCGCCCGTTGCACCCCATAGATACGACTACCTGTTCAAGCTCCTGCTCATCGGTGACTCTGGTGTCGGAAAGTCCTGTCTGCTGCTCCGTTTCGCAGATGACACATACACGGAGAGTTACATCTCGACTATCGGTGTCGACTTTGTGCGTTAATTCCACCGACATGTTGCTGAGGCCCGCAGTCGTCTAACATGCTCTAGAAAATCCGAACCATCGAACTCGATGGCAAGACTGTAAAGCTACAAATCGTGCGTCATTTCCGATGATAGGCAGATACTATATCATATGCTAATAGCGAGCCCAGTGGGATACCGCTGGCCAGGAGCGTTTCCGAACCATCACATCCTCATACTACCGTGGCGCCCACGGCATCTGCGTCGTCTACGATGTCACCGATATGGACTCTTTCAACAACGTGAAGCAGTGGCTGCAGGAGATTGACCGATATGCGACCGAGGGCGTCAACAAGCTATTGGTGGGCAACAAGTCCGATATGGCTGACAAGAAGGTCGTCGAGTACACTGTTGCAAAGGTAATTTTTAGTCCATCTCGAGGCTCTGATCTCGCGCAACATCTGACATGCTATACAGGAATTTGCAGACAGCCTTGGCATTCCTTTCCTCGAGACCTCGGCGAAGAGCGCTACCAACGTCGAGCAGGCGTTCTTGACCATGGCTCGTCAGATCAAGGAGCGCATGGGTACCACAACGGCAAACACCAAGCCTACAGTTCCCATCGGACAAGGCCAGGGTGTTCAAAGCGGCTCCGGAGGTGGCTGCTGCTAGACGAATAAAGAAGACATGTGTATGGAAATGAGAAGTCACGCAAGCGCTGAAGACGAGCAAGATATGGGCTTGGGTGTTTTATGTTCCAGTTCGGTACGATTGCGAATTTGGCACGGTGTCATAATGCTCATGAACACGGCTTTCTTTACATCACAACGTGTGAATGCCGCATGTCCCCGACCGTCGCTGGTTCTCGGTCCCCGGATCTCTGCTTGCATGGCGACGCCGCTTAGAATGGGGCTCTTGATTGGATTTCCTGGAATGTCTGGTGTCTGCATTACAATTTGCGGTGGCCGTTGGGTCCTCTTGTGTTCTCTAGGTGTTCTTTAATCTGGGCAATCATACTTTCCTACTAGACCAGTTGACACGTGCAGCAAAGTGAAGGTTCGCCAAGGCTGCTGAGGACAGCTTTGTTCCCATGTACTTGCAGGACCCTGCCCCAACTCACAATTGTACACGATCTCGCAGCTAGCTTCCAACACGGGTCCCAAGTAGATACATAGACGAAGTTTCCATGTATGGCAGACGCTCTTGACCGCATGTGGTTAAACGCCCGGGCTGACGTAGCTAAAACCCGGTCTCAAACCAACCACTCCTAGACTTCCAGGCAGCACTCGACATCAAACATATTTGTACTGGAGTTTTTGGTGAGCTTCACAAAATTCCCTTCTTATGAGCCTTTCGAATCACACTCGTTGTTGCAAGCTCAGTACATGAACATTCCGACTCTCAACTTTTTTTCAACTTCGAAAAAGGCCTATCGGGAATAAGAACCGCCTCACCTAGAGAAGATGTCGGTGTTTAGCACTCTTGCGAAATCAGGACGATGGCTTGGTCGAGAGCTCGGCCTAGGTACCATGGCATCTGCAGGTAAGGATGTGTACATCATCATCCTGACGCGTTACATTCGACTAGCAGCGTATGGTGCTGTCGCGCTCATCATAGCACTTTTCTTCCGAGAGCAAGGCTACACCGATGAGCAGATTGGGTTATTCATGACATTGACGCTGCTTGGAGACGTCCTTGTCAGTTTGCTCTTGACAGTCATTGCAGACACCCTTGGCCGCAGAAGGACACTGCTGCTAGGCGCAATGTCCATGGCCGTCTCTGGTGCGGTTTTCGCGACATCAAGCAATTATGCTGCCTTGCTTGTGGCTGCTATCATTGGTGTGATCAGTCCAAGTGGGAATGAGATCGGTCCATTCAGGGCTGTGGAAGAATCAACATTGGCACAGTTGGTCACTGAAACCAAGCGTTCAGACGTGTACACGTGGTATGTGGTCTTAGCTGTGCTGGGTACCTCGACCGGCTTGGCCCTAGGAGGTGTGGCATTCGATCAGCTACAAGCGCTTGAAGGGTGGACGAGTCTGGATGCGTATCGGGCTATCTTCTGGATCTACACGGGCGTTGGCTGCCTGCAAGCCTTGTTGACTCTGTTCTTGAGCAAGCAGTGCGAACTGAGTGGCTGGCATAATAGCCACAAGAACCAGCCCGAGACGGAACCTTTGCTCAACGGTGCTGAAGATCCCAATGTTAGCGTATCCGTCGAGCCTTATGAAACGCCTAAGAAACCAACCAAGAGATTCTGGCATGCGATCACTACGATCTCAAAGCCGAGTCGCATCGTACTAGTCAAATTATGCAGCTTGTTCTTCCTAGACTCACTAGCAAGTGGTACATATTATTCACGTTTTCCCAAAAGCGAAACCCGAGCTAACTTAACTGTAGGCATGGTACCTTTCTCTTTAATCAACTACTACATGCAGCGGAAATTCAAATTACCTAACGGAAAACTAGGTGGTATAATGTCTGCAACTTGGGTAAGTTACCAGTACCCCAACTAGCATTTCTGTAATGACCCAGGCTAGTTTGCCTCTACTGCCGGCAACATATTTGCCTCTTCCTTGGCCAGACGCCTCGGCCTCATCCAAGCAATGGTCTTCACCCACCTCCCAGCATCAATCTTCCTCGCACTTCTACCCGCGCCATCAGGCCTCGCACTAACAATCTGCCTCTTGGTCGGACGCTCAGTGCTTAATTCTATGGACCAAGCGCCGCGGTCTGCGTTTCTCTCCATTGTGGTTTTGCCGGAGGAACGAACAGCCGTCATGGGCGTGGTTAACATTCTCAAGACCTTGTCCCAGAGCAGTGGGCCGTCGGTTACAGGAGTTCTGGCTGGTCATGAGAGATTTTGGGTCGCTTTTGTGATTGCAGGGTCGTTGAAGGCGACATACGATTTGTTGCTGCTGGTGTACTTTGGCGGACGGGTGCAGCCAAGGAAAGAGCACGATGAGATGGACGCCGTTGAAGATGGGGAACCGAATAGTAGTAGGACTTCACCAGCATGCTGAACTGGTATTCAGCTTCATCTCACTGAACAGAGATGAATTACCAGATGCATGGCACATATCAAAACGTTAGTGCAGCGCTAAAATATGGCACATTGATCGTGAATACAATCATGGATTTGCACTACTGATCCTGTAAGTGACTCTCATCACATAACCATGTTGGCCCTGACCAGAAGGTGTGGCATTCTTCTCAATAACTCAAGCTGATCTCAAACAGGCGACAAAATGGCTTCACTCCTTCCCGTGGCCGATGTGCACGAAGGCGTGGTCCAAGCTGGATCGTCATTTCCACAACTGGCTAGACTCGAGAGACCCTACATGTGAAGCGATGACTACCTTTCTCAACACCCGTTGCAAAGAATTGTTCCTCATCAGTCACACGCATTAGATTTTGTTCTCTACAACGAGCTGCCACCGTTAAACGAAGAACTAAATTGTACGTTCAGCGTGGAAACATCACAACTGAGATTTTCGTACGCAGGAGCTCTCTGACCTCTTGGACGCTAAGGCTTTGCCGCGGACCTAACGCGCGGGTTTCTGCTGCAATCAACCCCGTCAATGCATCATCAAACTTTGCGAATTCTGGACAATTGTACAGCGAGGCACATCCAACAGCCACCCGCCCTTGAACCAGCATTGTGACCAACTAGAGAGAGTGAGTCACCGATCTCGGCATTCAGGCAGGGATTTTACAACGGACTATGGCGCCTGCACGCATTTTGTTTTTGGATGCGTACGACTCATTTTCCAATAACATAGTTGCGCTTGTGGAGCAAAATGTCAAAGTCGAAGTCATCAAAATCTTCATTGATGATCCGGTCCTTACCAAGGTGAAAGCCTCACGTGACCAAACAGCCTTCATCGAGTGTCTCAAAGGCTTCGATGCAGTCATTGCTGGTCCAGGACCGGGCTGGGCCAAATGTGACAAGGATGTAGGGCTGATGAAAGAGCTGTGGAAGCTGCAAGATGAACATCTCATTCCTGTACTCGGCATTTGTCTTGGGTTTCAGTCTCTCTGCCTGGCATTCGACGCCGGCATCGAAAGACTACAAGAACCAAAGCATGGGATCATCACAAACGTGCTGCACACGGGAAAATCATTATTTCGAGGCGTCGAACAACTCTTGACTACCCAGTATCATTCACTACATGTCACATTGGGCCATCCTATTCAAACTGAGCGAGCAGTACGATATCCAGAGCAACTTTGGGAACCTACCGAGTCTTGTCCTCAGTTGGAACCATTGGCCTGGGACTTTGATAGCGGGCAAAATGGTGCTGTTCTGATGGCAGTCAAGCATGTGGAAAAACCGTTTTGGGGTGTACAATTCCACCCGGAATCTGTGTGTACAAATCCTGAAGGGGCGCGCATTATCAAAAATTGGTGGGAAGACGCCCAATCATGGAATAGAAAGCGGATACTTCGCAACATCACCAAGAAAAACTTCACATCAGATATGCGATCATTGCCATTTTCGTTTGACGACTTCTGGCGCGAACTTGGCTACTACAATGGAAAGAAACGCACAACATACTCGCATGCCGAGCTCGCCGAAGAGTTGGATGGCGACACTCTTGCTCCCGTTGAGCTAGCTTCCCTAGTAGCACATGGAGACGGACAGAAACTGCCCGACCTACCTCCTGACGTTGTGCATTGTGCTACAATAGGAAGTGGGCGACTTACGGTTGCAGAAGTCTGCGAGCTGCTAGATGTTGCGAAACACGAGGCTATAATACTTGAATCAGGGCTTCATCCCAACTTGACCCCTATGGCCGTTGGGACTGGAAGATACAGCATTGTTGGCTTTGTCATACCAGAGGAAACTCTCCGTATACACTATTATGCGGGATCACGGAGAATGCAGCTGAGAGACGGAAACGATGAAGTACACACCGAATGGACTGTGTCTGATCCATGGCCGTACATACGGGAAGTGATGCAAAGTCTACGACCTTCAGTCTTACCAAAGAGTTCCACATGGGCACCATTCTGGGGAGGACTGATGGGCTATGCTTCTTACGAAGCTGGGTTGGAGACTATCGACGTATATGGCCACGAGGAAGCATCATATCCAGACATCTGTTTCGCGTATATAACCAGGAGCGTCGTCATGGACCACCAGACTAAGAAGATATATGTACAAAGTATCCGCGGCGACCACGATTTGCAGTGGATCGAGATGGTCCGAAATACCATCTACGATGCTGTCAGTAACAAATCGCAAGCAACAACACCAAGCATCTCGTCGACGTCAAAACCGAACCCCTTTGATGACGAATCAGACGAAATGATGAGGCAATATATTCAGCGTTGCACACACTATACCGCTGACGAGACCAAGTATTATAACAAGATTCGCTCATGTCAAAGAGCCATAGCGGATGGTCAAAGTTATGAGCTTTGTCTCACGACTCGAAACGTGATCCGCGCTCCTAAGCCGACATCTAATAGAATGTCATGGTTAGCAGATAACGAGCATTCTTGGAACCTCTACAAGCGACTGACTAGTCAAAATCCTGCGCCTTTCAGCGCTTATATGAGACTGCACAATGTACACGTCTTGAGCTCTTCTCCAGAACGCTACATCTGCTGGGATCGCTCACAGACGGCGCAGTGCCGGCCGATCAAGGGAACCGTTCAGAAGAAGCCAGGCGTAACGAAAGAGATGGCACAGGCGATTCTCAACTCCTCCAAAGAGCGTGCAGAGAATTTGATGATTGTCGATCTCACTAGACATCAGCTACATGGCGTTTATGGATCCCACAATGTCCATGTTAGCCAGCTCATGGAGATTGAGGAGTATGAGACGCTTTGGCAGTTAGTCACAGTTGTCGATGCAGTGCCCAATGGCATCCAAAAGTCTGTGACACCAGAAGACTGGCATGAGCCGAAGGAATACCTTTCTGGCTCGGAACGACCTTCATTCCCCTACTTGGGCTTTCAAGCTTTTGTCGAAAGCCTTCCTCCTGGCAGTATGACCGGGGCCCCGAAGAAGCGATCCTGCGAAATCCTCCAAGAGGAAGAAGACGGAATCAGACGTGGTATCTACTCTGGTGTCCTCGGCTACCTCGACGTAGGTGGCGGCGGCGATTTCAGCGTTGTCATTCGAACCGCCATCAAGATCGACACCGATCCTATCGAGGCTGAAGATGTCTGGCACATCAGCGCAGGCGGTGCCATCACCAGTCAAAGCACAGTAGAAGGCGAATACGAGGAGATGCTTGCAAAGTTCCAGAGCACGGCACGCGCTTTTACAGACTTCAAATCCTCACAAAAGACTTTGGGTGGTGACCCGACGGTGGAGATTATTGAGCATGATGACGCGGAGCTGTTGGCCATGATGGGGGCGGATCTGAGCGATCACGATATGCATCTGTTGGTCGACGCGTTTTTGTCGCAATTTAGAAGGACGGAGGATGCTGAAGGGCTTGCGGGGGAGATGGAGGGGGAGATGGAAGAGGATTTGACTGAGGAGGCTGGGTCAGTGGAGTGAATTGGGCGACTTTCTTGATTTTAGGCGCTCCTATAAGGAGAGGGCCGATATGTGATACCAAGTTTACATGAGATAGAATTAGAGGCGTCTAGGTTCAACACCTTCATAAATTTACAGCGATTACAGAATGTGAAGGTCTGAGATAGCATGGGTTCAACATTTGGTTGAGTCTTTCTGGCCAACTCAGGTTGCAACCTTGGGAAATATACGCCATCATCTAATTAGGGATTCATACAAAATGTCAAACCAACTGTATTAAATACACAACTATATTGCAATTCAATTATGTCGTCGGTTGGAGGTAGACAGGCTGACTAAGCGTGGGGGTCGTGGGGAAACGTGTTACCGACCTGCGCGATCATAGCTACATTTAACAACATGACAACGTACATTGCTTTCAGTACCAATGGCGTTATCCACCGAGGCACCGGATCCGAGGGAGTTCAAAGACTGGGAAGATGCGTTCCAATATCCAATACCCGTGGTTCGTAAGCTCGAACAGCAGCTTCGCAACAATGCAGACGCGAATCGAGAGAAGCTGCGGTCGCTTGTTGGGTACGAGACGCTACGTTAGGAATTGTAGGTATATGAAGTTAACAATTGTACAGAGCAAGCTACCGAAGCCTCCTCGACACGGCCGAAACGATAATCGATATGGAAGTGCGCATGGACAAAGTCGAGTCTAAATTGGCAAGAGTAGGACAGAGTTGCAACTCGCGAGGTCTAGAGCGGATATCGAACAATGCAGGCAGAATGGATGTATATAGCAAAAGTCGCGGTCAGTCCACAGATAGGAGTCTAGATTGGATCTGGGATTGACGGATGACAGATGGGGAGCGCTACGCATTCGCATCGCAGCTTTCGGTCTTGCGCAATGCCCCGTTGGTCATGACACGCCTGATGAGAACAGAGGGATCGTATCTCCTAATTGCCAAGGTCCTAGTCATCTCTCGACTTGTACACAAGGCGCTGACCAAATCAACGGACAAACCATCAATCGTGGACCAGCTATGGGAACGGCTCCTATCGGTTCGCAGGAAGTTGTTGCGCAGGATTGACAAGCGCCTTTCGAGCACGACTGGAGAAACTGCGACCTTGGTAGAGAGCATGTGCGCCTATGCTCTCGCGACGAGTTCTACACCCTCCGATGTATTAAACCACTTCCATAAAGTGCGACTGGAAAGGATGAACAGCGAGCTGCTGCAAGGAGGCGATGAGCTAGCAAAGCATGGCATTAATGCGCTCAAGCTATGCATACAGACATGTCTGGACACGCAAACTATCTTTCCACGGCACCTAGCGGAATCTCTTGTGAAATTGAAGGCGCACCCGTTGATTCAG